GAGTGGAAGATAAAGAGATCTTGTATTTCATTTTCACATTCTTGTAAATAGATGCATGGTGATTTAACACCCTATTGATTTTCTTCTCAAAACAAAGGCTTTATGTTTAAACATTCCTAAGAAATGAGCAATGATTAAGCTGATGAAATCAAGACCATACAGGTTTTATAAAACACAGGCCTGACAAACAAGCTCTAAATAAATGCAAGGATATCTTGTCAGTGTCCAATCAGACAGGGTGTTTCTATGGCAATAAAAATCAGGAACGTTCCTAAAAAATACCATATTTTTTGTCTTCTCTATCTAATTTAGTAAACCGCAAAATCACACTGGACTTTTCCTTAAAACTAACTGAACTGGTTAATTTGGTTTGACCATAAATAAATTAGTTCAGTGCAAGCAAGGTGCAAGCAGCCCATGAAACTTGCGTCTCAGGAAAACTTACCGAAATGAGTGGTTAGTTTAACTGAGGGCCCGTTCGAGCAAAAAACGCCAACCATATTCCGTTTATTTCACCGGGTAATCGCGCTGAGCACTCAGCGGGTGGTCGACCGTTCGAGCAAGTTTTAGCTCACGGTAAATACGTGTAACGAAACTACTCCGGAAGAAAATTTCAACTTATCCTATGGTCAACAACCCATTCTTTGTTTACTTGCTACTGCTGCTATAACCGGCCCACGTACACACAGCGCGGCACGGTGGAACGATAATATAGCTTAATAATTTATAATGGCTGCTTTAAAATCTGTACGTAGGCTAGTTTATTCAAGTTTATTTCTCCGAATAATGGTAAATCTACAAATCAATCGCGTAGCTAGCTATATGCTACTAAATTTAGACTTCGTCGTGCATTTGTGAGAGGCGAAGGAGAGCTGCAACCACGCCTGGGCCGTTAAACCTATTGAATTTGGCGCTAGGTTGTGGGAAAAACAATTAAGGTTGATTTATCGTCGCCTCTGGCTCCATGGTCATTCCATACACGGTATTCTACCCAGCAATTTGGTGGTCAAAATTGTCGCGGATAATCCAGATGGAAAGGTAATTAGACTAGTGTCCGAGCGGTTTTAGAAAGTGTGTACCGGTGAATCATGGGTGAATTAACTGGTAAATCGCACGGATATTTTTTCGCTCGAACAGGGCCCCAAGTGATTGGGCTCAGTTTAAAAACTTTTCAGTTATACCAAGCCGGAAAGTCAAACATATGTCTCGGTTAAACTATGTGAATCATTTCAGCATTACTCAATGGATGTCACAGATTAACTCCCTCAATAGCTGATTTTAACAGCTCATTAGTTTGTACCATTTCTCACAATAAAACTAACTTTTACTCAGAAAATCCATAATCGGGACATGTAAGATTCAACCATTGTTACCCACGATCTCGGTAAAATATTCCCATTTTTAAGTCCAGTGCGATTTGGGATAGTTATATCTGTATGGTTTATACATGGAAAAATAAAGTTAACAGGAGATCATGTTTTATAGAATGTCAGTACATGTTAGGCCTTGCCAAAGGCATCACATGTATGGAGTTAATTTAATTAATGAACCAAGCCCATCATTATTTTAACTTTAAATCCATGCCAAGGTTAGAGACATTATTTCTGGACATGCCTACAAAAATTCTCCCTTCTCCATTGTGGTATTGGCTTTTAATGATTGCCTCCATGGTTCAAAAGTTTAAAGGTTTATAATAATATCATTTATCGTCAACTCAATGGTTCTCTCCCTTATTGCTGAGTGTACTATGCAAGAATCACAACATTTATTTTATTTTACATTTTAAAATGGGAAAAAAAAAGATTTTACCCAAGAACATGCAATAGCATTTGAGAAAGTTTAAAATGATATGCCAAAACTTACATCTCTCCTACATTTTTTTTTTTATAAGATTAAAGAACACATTTTATAATAACACTGAGGCTGAAATTGCTTAAAAAAGGAACAAAATAAGAACAATTTGAGGCAATAGGTAAAATGATAAATGAGGTTTATTTTTAATAAAATAGCCCAGGTTCCGTGTTATAAATTTTTTTGCTGAATTGAGGCTAAAAATTTTCTTATTTTGTTCTTATTTTTAGACACTTTTCAAACATAGGAAGATACTATTGTACAGCTCAGTATCTGTACAGTATTATACAGGTTATTACATTGTCACACCTACTGCAAATAAGGTACAAATGATTTGTTGGTTTTTCTATTTAAAAAAAATAAAATAAAAACTCATTTTACCTCAGCCTCAATTTGTTCTTATTTTGTTCTTAATTTTTAAGAAATTCCAGCCTCAGTGTTTTTATAAAATGTGTTCTTATAGAAAAAATGTGTTGCAGTAGGTGTGACTATGTAGTACCCTCTATAATACAGCGCAGTATTGTAACGCTGTAAAATAATAAATAAATAGAAAAAATGCTGCCATCTTGGGATCTACAGATAAAAAAAAAACAACAAAAGACAAGTATTAAAGACTTCAAAATAGATGTAGAAAATACATCAGTAAAACAATAATCTTGATTGAATAGACAATTAATACATCCTACATTATCAAGTATGTTCATAGTGTACTATAAATGATAAATTGCTGTAATGCAGATATTCAACAATATAAAATGAACTTAATCCATTTATAAGTAATCTATAGGGCATAAATGCTTATAATAATTTGTGATACTTTTGTTTACAGTATCACTTTTTTTTTCTTGTTGTAAAGAGCATGCTGCAGGTTTTTGTGTATAGGCTACACTACAAATATTTTTGCTGACAGATTAAGCTCTTAAATGTCAAATTAGGAACAATGAAGTACAGTATTATGAGAGTGCCATTTCTAGGCATATAAAATTTATTCTCCTCAGCCCGGTCATGGTGGGATGTTGGAAACTCCCAGCCAACAGCCACCCCCAACTGCAGGCACCTAGTGGACTGCAACATATCCTGGAGGAATGTAGGTAAGAATGGCCCCGGAAAAAATGGCCCCAGAAAAAAT